CATTCCTGCCTCGGGTAGTGAAGCTTACCGGTTCGGTAGAAGTTCAAAATGTGGCGAAACATCTCCGGGTCCCTGTCGAAGAAATACTCCTGAGTGTCCTCGTTGTAGAAAAACTCCTTTTCCGAGCTGCCCAGCAGAGTGTCGGGATAGCGGTCCAACGTGTTTTTCCATGTCTGGAAGCGGAGCCCGCTCACATTCACGAACAGGATCTCGTCATTGCGGCTCTTTTTGTCCACGGGCGGTTTGGGCATGATTTTCTTGGCCAGAGGAAGCCAGCCGACGGCCGCTGCCCTGGCAAATGGTAGCCATGTTGCCACTCCGGCAGCCATGTTTAATTTGGTGGCTAAGTGTTGCTAATGAATCAAATACACCAATGGGGAGAACACCAGTCAGTCCTGAGAAGCTTTTCTGAACCTTTTTGGACCAGAAAGAGTCTTTCCAAACTAATCATCCGAGCTGAGGATCTCAGACTAGTTCCTTGCTTTGTCTGTACATTTAATAAGCTAGGAAGGAATCCTGTGAGGTAAATGGAAGTAGGCGAATGTTTTCATTATCTACTACAAACATTTGGGGCTGTCAGAGTGTCAAAGCCATTTGAATCTCAGCATCTCCATATATCAAAAATGATTCTGAAATGACCCATTAAAGTTCATCAGCTCAAGTATTTTGTTTGCAGATTGTGGCTGTTCAAAGAATCAGTTCAGCCATTGAAAGGGTTAACCCTCTTGGCCATTTCTTGCAGGCTCTGCCAGAGAATACTGATTTGTTGCTGCGCTGTGCCGTTTCAAATGTTTATTAGTCTGTGATGAGGCTTTCTGAAGTTAGCAAGAAGACTATTTCTCCTCTACTCCATCCATTCTTTCGTTTGAAGGTGTTCTCGCTCCTTTTTATGCAATTTCAAGACTCTTGCCTTTAATTTTTCTTTTCTTTCTTCAAGCTTCAAGTGGCTACTCAATCTCACAAGAGGCTGAGAAGATTTTCAAACGGAGATCTCAGAACCGCAGCCACCTGGACTCCAAGTATGGCCGTTCCTTCATGCTCCTGTCAGGAAACAGCACAACAAATCCTTAGATGACTTCTCAAAGCAACATGGGACACAGTAGCTACTTTCGCCAGCTTGTTTTACGTCAGAGACTGTTAAAATAAACAAACTTCACAGTCTGTTAGCGAGAGCTCTCACACACTAGTCATTCGCTCTTTGTACTACACAGAATACATGTGCCATTACATTTTACATATATAAAATAGGATACTCGGAAATACATTCATAAATTGCTTATAAATATATATCTATTTATATTACTTTATAAATAATAAAATACTTTGCATAGAGAGCTATAATTTTTCAATGCAATCAGAAAAATGCTAAGTAGTAAATGTTCAGGTTCACAACAATCAATAAGCAACGTATGAAGTCAATCAAATAATGTGTTTCCCCACTTCTAAGCTAATGCAACTTCCTGTTGCATCTAAATGTCTCAGTATGAAGAACCTCCCTAATCCAGAATCAGATTTTAAAACCAACACAAACTTTTTAGGGTGTCATCACATAACCACACGGCTGTCGGAGGACAGGTGACCCAGCCCAGTCCCAACATAATGCATACAACACGCTCCACAATCAAAAATCAATAATGCATTACTCTACACCTCCTGCACCATGCACAAGAACATGAACGTAGAAGACAAACAGTAAATTCTGGGTTTACATTAGCACTAATGCAGCTCTGGAGCAAAACACATACCAACTTATTCTTTCTTTTTTCGTCAGACAAGAGTGTAAACGCAAATGTAGGTGCTTCTAAATTTCCTTAAATGCACATCCCTAAAGTGACTCCCAAAAACAATGAGAGCCATAAATAAAACGACATAAAAAAGTCAAGCAAGTTGCCAGCAGTAACGATAAGTAATGACTTATCTTTAAAGACTTACCTCTGAGACAGACGAGAGGAGGAAGAGTTCAATGTGAGGGAAAGCTGTTGAAAGAAAGAAAAAGGAAAGAAACAGCAATCTCTCTGCAGCAGTCCTGGCATCTCGCATGCAGCTTGTGAAGGAGCGACTGTAACGCCTAGTACTCCTTGCCTCTCTCTCCTCTCCTCCGCTGCTCGGTTGCATTCGTGCACTGCCTCTCTCTCTTTTACTCTCATTTGCTTGCTCAACCTCCCCACCCTCTTTCTCTCTCACACACTCTTTTCTACACTTATACACATCCATTTAAAGCTTAATATCTCTTGCAAATGCATCCTGCCCTACAATGGGTCATAGAGAACGAGGCAATAGCTCAGGTTTCACACAACCTGACAATACTAGATCGCACAATCTTCTTGTGCCCTTTGTTGCAGCTTACTGCATTCAGACACATCGCATCCTCTCCTCTTTCAACAGATCGTTTCATGTTGCTCCACCTCTCTCGGCAGTGGGAGCAGCATGAGAATTTCATTCTTATTTCAGTTTCCTCAACTGCTTCCGAGCACAATGGGGTGCCATCACACTTCTGAAAGGTGGAGAATGTATTAAAATCGTTGACGAAGATGGGAAAGCTATGGGAGATGCTTTGGGAGGTTTACATTAATGATATACAACATTGTCCAATTTCATTTCAACAATATTGGGAATGGCTTGTTTGGTATCATAAAATCATATTATATACAGTAGATTATCAGTCAAACGTGTGGACACAGGACACTCTATTGAATGTGTGTTACATCTTTTGATGTAAAGCAATGGTTCTCAAACAGGAGGCCCGGGCTCACTAGGGGGCCTCAGTAAACACCCAAGAGGGCCTTAAAGGGGTCATATGATGCGATTTCAAGTTTTTCTTTCTCTTTGGAGTGTTACAAGCTGTTCGTGAATAGATTTTGTCTCGTCGCTCCGGGACACAGCATCACAATATGGTAAGGGGCGTAACATTTCCGTCACACGCTTGAGGTATTCGGCCAATCACAACGCACTGGATAGCTGGCCAATCAGAGCATAACTCGCTTTTCAGACCGATGAGCTTTGTAAAAATCGACGCGTTTCAGAAAGGCGGGGCATAGAGGAGAAACAATAATGTACAGTATGTGGAAAATAATGTGTTTTTTGAACCTTAAACCGCATAAACACATTTCATTACACCAAATACACAAAATAATGTTCTTTTTAGTAACGTCATATGACCCCTTTAAGATGAGTTAAAATAATTAAAACTATGATAAAACAAGTATTAAAATAAGCTAACACAACTAAAAATCAAGATTTTAGATCACTCTGCAACAATTTTTGTTTGTTTGTTTGGAAAAGTCAAAATCTTAAAAAAATTTTTTTTTTTTGGCCAAGCTCTAAAATAATTTAGCAGGTAAAAATTTATTATGAGTAAACATATACATACATACTGTATACATACAGTATATACACATCTATATAAATATTCCTTTATATACACTACCGCTCGAAAGTTTGGGATCAGTAAGACTTGTAATGTTTTTTAAAGAAGTCTCTTACGCTCATCAAGGCTGCATTTATTTGATCAAAAATACAGAAAAAAAAACAGTAATCTTGCAAAATGTTATTACAATATAAAATAATGCATTCTATTTTAATTTACCTTCAAATATAATTTATTTCTGTGATGCAATGCTGAATTTCCATCAGCCATTACTCCAGTCTAAAGTGTCACATGATCCTTAAGAAATCATTCTAATATCCTGATTTATTATTAGAATTATCAATGTTGGCAACTATTTTTTTTTTTTTTTTGGAAACTGCGATACTTTTTCAGGATTCTTTGATTGTTACTGACCTGAACGGTAGTGTATATTGTTAGAAAATATTTCTATTTTAAATAAATGCTCTTCTTTTTATTCTTTTTAATTT